TATTATTATTATTATTATTATTATTATTATTATTATTATTATTATTATTATTATTATTATTATTATTATTATTATTATTATTATTATTATTATTACTATACTTTACTTGAATTAATTGTATTTTTGTTTCTTTTCTTTATGTTTTTTTTAATTTCTTTTTTTTCAATTTTTCACTTATATTTTCATTTTTACCTTTTTTTATGACTTCAATTATTATTTTTATTACTTCTATTATTGAATACCATTAAAATTAAATGTATAATGTATTTATCTAAATATGTATTATTTATTTACTTTTACTTGTTTACTTTTTAATTAATTTTTCATAAAAGGTTATCTTTATAATTTTATCATATTCGATTAAACAAAAAGCACTCAAAAAAAACGAAAAAAAAAATAGAAAACAAAAGAAAGCAGAAGAAAAAAAATTTAGTTTAGCAATTAGAATAAAATCAAAACAAAAAAAAAATTAAATAAAAATTAAATAAAAATTAAATTGAATGGAATGCTATTGTAGATGTACACTTTATTTTACATTTTAATATTATTTTCTATTATATTTTCTTCGTCATAAAAAAATTCGTTATAATTCGTTTTCATTTCCATAAATTTGTCATCATTATCAAAAAAATTGTACTTTAGATTGTTAAAACTTTTTTCAATTTGTAAAAGAATTATCGTTATCACAACACTTATCGCAAATACTTTATCGAATAGCTCATCTAGTAATAAAACATTTAACGGTATTTTAAAGATTTTTGTGATTGCATTTGATAAACTTTTCGATAAATTTGATCTTATCATTAATGAAGTGGCTAGAACATAAATTCCAGTCAATTCAGCTACTACAAGATTTCTTGAAATTGATAACAATGATTGTTGATTTTCATCATCATCATTATAGCCTTTACTAATTTTTTCACTTTTCTTTGCATTATCATTATCATTATTTAATTCATTTGAGGAGTTTTTAATTTTAATTGGTAATAATTTTGAAAAACTTACAAAAGTATTCAATACACTTGAAAATGAACAACAAAATAAACCAGTAGAAAGTAAAAAACCAATTTGATTTGATAATAAATTTTCATCGACAGTCTTTAAATTAAACAAACTTATTATTATTTTGGATAAACTTACAGCCAATGCATCCTGAATTATTTGGTCATTGTTATTGTTGTTGTGAACATTATCATCAATTGAGGATGTGGATTCTGGATCTAAAGTAGAGTAATAATTTTTATAGATTTGATTTGGCAATTTTATGAAAAAGATACTAATTAATCTATAAACACAATAAACCGAGAAGATTTTTTTACCCAATAATATTAATTTCCCTAAAAGAGTTTGATCGAATTTCAATTGATCGATTTTTTGGAGTATGTTTGCTATATCATAGTATAAGTTATTTTTTAGACTTGATAGAGTTTTAATTTCTAGTTGTAGTTCGTTAATTTGAATTTGGTCATTTGAGATTTGGTTTTTAGTTTTATAGTTGAAGATGTTAATTTTTGAGAAAATTTTATTTTGGATATTATTAGTATTATTTTGAGATGATTTTCGATCGATTGATATTTTTCTTTGGTGATAATTATTTTGATTATTGGATAGAGGGTTTAAGTAAGGGCTCATGTTTGAGTTATTATTGAGGTTATTAATTGTATTGTTTGTATTGTTTGTATTGTTTGTATTGTTTGTATTGTTTGTATTGTTTGTATTGTTTGTATTGTTTGTAGTATTTGTAGTATTTTTAGTATTTTTAGTATTTAAAATTGATTTTAAATGATTTAATTCATTTTGTCTTGAATTTATTAAAGAAATTGTATTTTTAAAGCTTTCGATAGTTTTTTTGAGATTTAGATCCAAGTTTTGTAGATTAGTTGTGTTGTAATGATTGTAGTGGATGTGATTAGGGTTGTAATAATTTGAGAGAAATATTTTTGATATAATATTTTGAATAAAATCAGAATTTGAAATCAAGTAGTAGGGGGTTGAGATTGAGCCTATACCGGATAAAGCAGCCATACAAGCTATGCCTAGGATTGATAATCTTGATAGATATGAGGTTAATAGGTTGTAGTTATTTTTGTTGTTGGATAAGGATTGTGGGATTGAAAGGTTGACTTTTTCGATATTTTTCAAGGTTTGCGTTGATAGGTCCCTTGGTAAGTCGTCTTGGTTTAACAAGTTTAGGGAGAAGTTGTCAGAAAATTTTGAGTAGTTTAGTTTATTTAGGGAAAAAAGCCAGAGAAGGAGGAGCGAGATGGATAAGATTAGTTTTAGTTTAATATTTTTATAAATGGTATCATTGTTTGAGTAATTGTTTGAGTAGTTGTTGAGAGAAGAATTGAATTTTTTTAATTTTTTTTTATTAAAGGGAGAGGTGAAATTGAAATTGAAGTTGAAATTAGAATTAGAATTAGAATTAGAATTAGAATTAGAATTAGAATTGGAATTGGAATTGGAATTGGAATAGTTGTAGTTGTAGTTGTAGTTTATGATGAAGTTTATTAGGATGAAGAAGATTAAAAAGGGAAGGATGAGGATTAGGAGGATGATTAGGAGGGATAGATTTAGATTTAGGATTAATAGTTTTGGAGCCGAATTGAACCATTTAGAGATTTCAGAGAGAACCAAGAAGATGATTAGAAGCGAGGAGGATATGGTTAGAGAAAATAGAGATTTTAGGAGTCTTTTAAAGGAAGGGAAGAGGGGGATGTTGTAGTTTGATAGAGATATAGATAAGGAGGATCTGTGGGAGGGAGATTTTGGGGTGAGTCTTTGAGTTGGGATTGAGATTGAGATTGGGATTGGGGATGAAGAGGGAGAGTCAGAAAGACCTAGAGAGTTGAGATTAAGAGATATTGTTTGTAAGTTGAAGATGTTGGGAACTAGTTTATAGAGAAAGGTGTTTGAGTAGTAGTAAGTGGCCGAAAAGAAGAGAAGAAAAGGGAGAGAGTTAAAGGCCAGAGATAGAAGAGAAGAGGAAGAGGACATGGTGAGAGATCAAGGCATGAGCAGCAGAGGAGGAGTGGTAAGAGAAGGAGAAGAAGAGGAAGAGGAAGAAGGATGAGAAGAGAGATGAAATTTAATGAGATAAGAGAGGATTGGGAATAGAATGGAATGCAGTACAAATCCCCGGCGGAAGTTACAGAGATCAAAGGTCAAGAGAAGAGAAGATGTTATGATATAGTGTTAATAGTATATAGTATAAACATATATAAGTATTAAGTAGAGATCCAATAACCCAAGTATATAGCTAACGAGAAAAAAGAGAAGAGAAGAGAAGAGAGAAGAGAAGAGAGAAAAAGAAACAGAAAAAGTAAGAGAACTTTTAAAATAGATCAATTGGGATGGTTATTTGATTTTGAGAACTATTAGAGAAATGTTAAAGTAGTAAACCAATTGGAATAATAAAAGCACTATTGAAGTGAGAGAAATGATACAGCCTAAATTGAAAAAAAAGAAATTAAGAAAAGAGAAGATTAGTTTATAATTCATCTTTTTTTGTGTTTTTGAGAGGAGCAGCGGTTGGAGTAGCAGATTGGATGATGGAAGAAGCAGAGGAGGCAGAGGAGGTGGTGTTGGTAGCAATTGAGGAAGCAATTATGGAGGAGGAAGAGGCAGGAGACTTTTTGAACAAGGAAGAAGCTAGGGATTGGACCTTGGAGCCAAAGTTTTTGACATCAGCACCTTCAGAGGCAATTGAGAAGGAGACAAGCAAGAGGGCAGTTAGATATTGGAATCTCATTGTAGGCGAGTGGTGAAGAGTGAAGAGTGAAGAGTGAAGAGTGGATGCAATTGAGAAGAATTGTTTGTTGGAGAAGAATTGGAGAAGAAAGTGAAAAAAAAGAGAGAAAGGGAACTTAAATAGGATGCAAGAGCTGGATAAACAGAGCAGTCGAGAAGGATAGGGGAGTCGTGTGGGATCAGAGAAGGTGTTGTTGGAGAATGGAATAAGAATGGAACAAGAGTGGAACAAGAGTGGAATAAGAGTGGAATAACAGACGAAGAATGAGTATCGAAACAGATCTTTCACTAACGTAGCACTCGTTTCGTATTCCTCTAAGTGGCTATTCTCTCAGTGTTTGTTGAGCAGATTCTCAACAAATTGCAGCAGCACTGGAGATTGGTGGATTCGAGCTGTTGTGCTTCTAAAGGAAAGCAAAAGGAGAGGAGAGAAGAAAGTTTTGCTCTGATGGGAGGTTGAAACAAGCTACTACTACGCTAAGACTGGACAAACTGATGTTAAGCTACTTCATTAGACGATTATATAGGAGAGAGTACATAGTTATTTACAGTGAGGCAATCAGCCCAATCTGAGAGATGTTAGTGGTTGCAATGTTGTATATGCTGCGAAGCCCATGACACTGAGAATAGAATAAACAATGGAATAAATAGTAGAAAACAGAATAGAAAACAGAATAGAACACTTACTGAGGAACCATCAAGTCCATTATCTCAGACTGGATGAACCAGACACCAGCAGCAAAGAGAGAAACATTCAACACCACAGGATACGCTGGCGACTCTTTGAACTTCTGGAATCGCGAGACAGGCTCTTGCTTAGTGGCTCTGGGAATACCATATACACCATTCATTGTGAGGACTAGCTGTTGGTTATAGTTGGTTCGGTTGGTTGTGGTTGTTCGTGTTAGCAAATGCCAGTTTTTTCTCTTCAGCTTCAACTTCTCTAACTTCAAAAAAGACCAAAGCTGAAAATTTCTTCTTGCAATTTCCAGGTCACGTGGAACAGAGATTCGACTTTAGCTCGATTTTTCACTGAGCGAGCAGAACGAGTTTACGAGAAGCTGTTTATTAAGCTGTGTTTGCGAGAAGCTGTGTATTGCAATGTCTATTTCTATGTAGCGGTTTCCTGCTATGAAAACGTTTGTTAGTAGTAGCCCCAGGCTAGAGTGGAATCGCAGTCGAGCACGGTGCAGACAGTTGGGCATTGCTCAGAGCAGATCTTGAAGTTAGTTTTTTCTATCAACTATGATTGCAGATAATGTAGATAATTTCGTCATCATGGTAATGCGCCACCGTCGTATCGCTCCATAGCCGTGCTGTTCATGGACAACATACCGGTACCAGTCTTATGTTCTACTTGTTTTGATTGTATTGGTGAGTGACATTTATTTAGCTGGTATATCTAAGATAAAACCTGCTTCTTATTCTTTTTCCATTTTAAAAGAGAAAACTGAAAAAAAAAATTAGGTCAAAAAAGATTTTCAAAAAAGATTTCCAAAAAGAGAAAGCAAAAACACCGCATGGTTCCATCGCAGTGGTCCTGCAGTGTCATGTATAATAATGCATAACGCTACTAGTACCAATGAAGTGGTCTGATGAAATGAATATTAAGTGAATAAAAAGAATAAAGAGAATAAGGAGAATAAAAAAATAAAAGAAAGATCTAGCCAGTTGAAATACAGTTTATATCATTATTAATATTATTATTATTAATGCTATTATTATAGTTATAGTTGCAGTGATAATGATAGTTCCAGTCACTATCTTTATAGTAACGAAAGAATAAGTGATCGAATTTTCTTTAATATGATTCTATATTTAATGTATTTCACATTCAAGTAGTTTTTAAAACAACTGAATAAATAAATAATGAAATCACCCAAGATAGTAATTACAATTAGAGAAATAATAAATAGTCCCAAGTATCTTGAACATTTAAACGATATATTAATCAAAGTCTCAAAAATTTCAACTAAAATTTTAGAAAAACCATTTAAAAAATTTAAAACATTGTAAAAAATAAACAAATGGTTCACAAAAAACTTATTAATTTCAATCTGATTATCATTATAATTATAATTATAATTATAATTGTAATTGAAATTCGAATTCGAATAATGATTATAATTATTACTCAACTCAATTAAAAATTTGGGTAAATTCAAAGACACTGTTTGCACTCCCATATTAATTGATGTTATTTCCTCTAAAAACTCTGAAAAACTATGCATTGTCCACTATTATTATTATTATTATTATTAAATTATTTAATTAATTATTGAATTATTGAATTAATTAAAATATTCAATTGATTCACTGTTTCGTGTCGTCTGCTTCTATTCTCGAAAATTTAGAAAATTTAGAAAATTAGTATATCACCAATGGATTCTCGTCGCTTATATATCTCAAAAAATTAGTGCACAATAAGAAAGCGAAGATTTACTAATTTACTGATAATTGAAACAAAACAAACCAGAATAAAACAATTGAAACAAATAAACAAAACTAAAAAAAAAATTTCAAAAGAGCAAAAGCTGAATCACTGTTATATACCTATGCTATCATATCACTAACATGCGCACATTGCACCTTAGATCAATGTAGCCGGTTTTTAAGCTCATGACAATGCTGTTGAAAAAAGAAAAAAATGCCCTTTTCTGATAACACAACCCATGCAAAACTGGGATGCATTCTCGGGTATCCAATCATCACCTCCTTTCCGCTTTGCTTTTTCCTTCTCTCTTTGTTTTCAACGTGTTCATCCCCTGTTTTTCTGCAATCACTTGGCCTTGGTCCTGTGACTCTCCGATGCTGGTCTTTCTTCTTCTGCATGTGCTATTCTTGCTATGCACTTTTTGAGACTTTTTTCAAACAAAGAATTCAAACCCGTTTCTGTCTCTTCACCCGCCTTCCGTACAACCAGATCACATGTCCACCATCACTGCTTCTCACTTTCCAGAGCTGTCTGTTGCTGTTTGCTTTGTTTCCCATGTGAAAGACCCCGTGTTTCTTCCCATCAAAGCCACCCGATCACGCTTCGCTTAAGACTTGGTTAAATCACGTGAAAGATCCTCCTATTCAAATTAGCCTCCATACTATACTTCATACAGTATCAACTATCAACTCTCTTTTATATCACCATTCAACATCACCATTCGTCGTTTATTACTCTTTAATATTCATATTATACTATATCACTTCAATTGCTCTTTCTATAATTTATTGATTAATTAATATATCATCATGAGTTGGGACGGTTTCAAAAAAGCTATCAACAGAGGGACAAACTCCGTATTTGTTAAAGCAACAGATAAAGTCACTGATAGAGACTATGAAGTTGAAGAAAGAAGATATAGAATCTTGGAAAAAGCTGGAAAGACTTTGCAAGTCGAAACAAAAGGTTACTTGGACTCTCTTAGAGCTGTCACTGCCTCTCAAGTAACAATCGCTGAAGTCATTTCCAACCTATACAATGATACCAAATCAACTGGCTCAAATTACTCAAGCGCTGGCGACTACTACTTGCAATGTGTAACTGAATTCGATCAAGAAACTGTTAAACAATTAGATGGCCCCTTTAGAGAAACGGTTTTAGACCCAGTCAACAAATTCTCTCAATATTTCCTGGAAATTAATGAAGCAATCAAAAAGAGAACTCACAAAAAAACTGATTACGAACAATGTAAAAGTAAAGTAAGGAGATTGGTCGATAAACCTGCAAAGGACTCCTCTAAATTACCAAGAGCCGAAAAGGAATTGGCAATGGCAAAGGATATCTATGATGAACTAAACGACCAACTAAAGGACGAATTGCCTCAACTAGTCAAACTAAGAGTTCCTTATTTTGATCCAAGTTTTGAATCCCTTGTCAAAATTCAATTAAGATTTTGTACGGAAGGCTACTCAAGATTAGCTCAGGTACAACAATATTTGGATCCCCAATTAAGAGACGATTACTCAAATGGTAGATTGGATGATAGAATTACTGAATTGCTACAAAAAATGTCCTCTTTAACAATCTGTTCAATAGCTGCAAAGTAATACATCCTCATATATCTCCTATATACATATTAATTCTAATATCCTAAGTTATCTCATAACGTCATCATCTTTGTAATCCACGCGACTTATTGTTATCGCTTTTATCTTGCGCTTTTTGTCCCAAACCGTGGCTGATCTTGCGCATTTTCTTTTCTTCTCTTCTCTAAACAATCCTCATATACCAAACACATATCGCGCTACTCGCTATACTCCATTCACAACTTCATCTATTCATCAGTTATATTCCCATCTCATATTCTTAATCTACGCTCATATTCTTTGCTTTGCTCCCCCTAACCTAATGAATAACCATCCTGCCTCTTGGATATACTCTTCCCTATATCCTCACTTCATCATCGTCCAAGATACTTCCTCTTTCAACACCCATCCCAAAAATCTAACCGCCGACATCCTTACTGATCCAACTACCCAAATAAACGATATAAATAACAACAACTTTCAAATCCTAAATGAACACCCAATAAACATCTTTCCCGAAATCCATTACAAATTCATCGATGACGATGATCAAAATACTGATTTAAATAACAATAATGACAACATTATAATAATCGATTTTGAAAATGATGCAAAAACAATCAAATCCATAAACTGCTTCTCTGACGATTGGCAAATTCAAAACATCGAACAATTCCAATTTGACGCCAACAGCAATAACGATAACAACTACAATAATGATCTCGACAACTCTGTCAACCTACTCATCAAGGGAACAAAAATCTCGCCCACTTTCAACACTGCCGCCAGTGTCTCTCCTGCTGCTACCACTGCTGCTTCTGCTGCTCCTGCCCTCAGTGACTTGGACCTCCATAACCTGGTGGCTCTCTTCTCCTTGCGCAACCGCCAATTGAAGCAAATGATGCACTTCCAGCTGAATTTGGGATGCTTTGAGGGCTCGGCGCTTAACTGAGCTCGTTGCTGCTGCTCGGCCCTCCCTCCCCCGCTGCCCGCCCGACGCTCAGATAACGTGGTTTTCCCGCTTCCACGAAAAAAAAAGAAAAATTGAACTTGAAAACAAATAAAGTACTTCTTCATTCTTAGCACTTGATTTCTTGACTAACCCAACTCTCTCCCAATATCTCCCCCATTAAATCTTCTTCCATTTATCATACTATGTCGAAATACATTGATAGAAAACGCTCTAATGATGATTCGACCAATTCTTCCTCTTCAAAAAGAAGGAAAATATTAAATCGTTTATCCGACACTGGTCCCTTAACTCAAGACGATGTTGTCTACTTTCAAAAAGAAGCAATAGTTCGACAGATGAAACTATATAAAAACCAATATAACGTAATTAGATTTCATTATAAAATCATCAAATCGAACTACGATATAACAAAAAACAACCTAGCTCTACTAGATGCTTGGTGGCGCAATATTATTGAATTATTAAAATCAAGAGGCTTAATTGGTAAAAAAATATCTTCATCCGATGATGATTTACTCTTAAACATTCCCTTCGGAGATGATGAGGATGATGAAGATCTTCAAGATGATAATGAAGTCAATAATAATAATAATAATAATAATAATAATAATAATAATAATAATAATAATAATACCAATAATAACTCTTATCTTAAAAATAAATACAATTACAATAATGAACTAGATATTGATATCGATCTTGAAAGTGATGACAATGATGGTAATAATGATGATAGTGATGATAATAACAATGACGATGATAATGATAATGATAATGGTGATTTAAACGCTCTTTTAAAACCAAAAACCAAAAACCAAAAATTACAGATCAATGAAATCTTGTCTCTAAGAAAAGACCTATTAATGAACATTATATCCCCACTAATAAACAACAACAATAATAGAACTTCTTCACACGATGTTCATAAACTACAAGATCAAATTGAATCTTTAACAAAAGATTTAGTGGCCTATAAATCAGAAAACGATTTTCTAAAGGGCAAAAACTCTTACTTGAAAAAATGTTTAAAATCTGTTACCCTCAAATTATCAAAATCAATAAAACTTCAAGAAAGACGCCAAAGTAAAACTCTCAAAAGAACTGATGAAAGTTTGAAAGAAAATAGTGAAATTAATGGAAATACAAATGACTCATCATCAATAACTCCAAATAATGTAAATAATGTTAAAAATCAAAATCATATTAATAATATTGATACTCATAATAATGGCACAGATAATAATAACCATAACACTCTTAATAATGGAAATACTACTACTAATAATAATAACAATAACGATAACGATAATAATAACAGTAACAACAATAACAATACAACAGATAACACTGTTAATAACAATAACCAAAATAATGTCAATAATAATAATGTTAATAATAATGTTAATAATAATAGTAATAATAATAATAATAATAATAATAATAATAATAATAATAATAATAATAATAATAATAATAATAATAATAATAATAATAATAATAATAATAATANTAATAATAATAATAATAATAATAATAATAATAATAATAATAATAATAATAATAATAATAATAATAATAATAATAATAATAATAATAATAATAATATTAATAATAATAATAATGTTAATAATAATAATAATAATATAAATCAATTAGATATAAATAATACTACAATACCCATAGAGGAATTGGACAACTTAAAAATTGAACTTTGCCAATTAAAATCTGCAAATGAAACTTTACAAAACCAATTAGAACAGGAAATAACAAAGTCAAAAAATTTGAAAAAAAGTGTCTTTGAGTTAAACCATCGATTATTAAACTTAAATGAATTGGATTTGGAATCTTGTGAATTACACAAAAAATTGATTCAATCAAATCAATCCTTAAATAACGAAATGAAAGAAATCTCAAAGATTAACACAAACTTGACAAACAAATTAAATCAATATGAAAGTGAAAAGATTTCTTATAAGACTGAGATTGAAAAGGAGTTTAACGATCAACAAGTTGCTTTAAAACAAAAATTAGAAAAAGCTGAAACTGATTTAACAAGGATTAGAAATTCAAGAGATGAATATTCTGCTCAACTTAACATTCTTAAGGCCGATAGAAAAAATTCTGAGTTATATGAAGAATTGAAAAATTTAATTAAAACTCAAAAAGAAAGAATTGAACAATTGGAAAAAAATCCAATTGAATCTAGAAAAGAACTTTATAATGAAGATCTTGAGAACTCGGATCTTGAATCCTTAAAACAGCAAAATTTTGCTTTATTAAAAGAATTGAAAGAGGTTGAAATTGCTTATAATATGTCTGAGCAGCAAAGAGTCAAGAAATTAAACTCTCATATTGATACAGAATCATTAATTAATAAACTAAAAATTGAGAAAAATAAAGCTGATCAAAAATATTTTGCAGCAATGAGATCAAAAGATGCATTAATAAATGAAAATAAAACTTTAAAACAACAAACTTCAAAAACTGCTGAATTAATTGTTCAAATTAAAGATGTTGAAAAACTTTTAAATCAAAAAATCGAAGTTTTGGAGCTTCGAGTTAAAGACTTGAATGCAGTTCAAATTGAGAAACAATTAAAAAATGAAAACTTGAAGAAAAACTTAAAAGAAGTATTAAGTTCATATGATAACCTTAAAAAAAATCATGATCAATTAATTAATAGTAATCAAAAATATGTTACAGAATCTAAAATTGAAACTGAAAGATATAATAAATTGGAAGTGGAATATCAAAAATCGATTTCAAAAACGAAATTCTTAGAGACATCAATAAATAAAATTAAAAGAAATAATTTAGCATCTAAAGCAAGAAGTTCAGATAGTACCATTTCGGGTTTAGAGAATGAAATTGAATCATTGAAATTTTTATTAAAATGTTCACTTTGTTCAACAGAATGGAAAAATACAACGTTGAAAGTATGTGGGCATACATTTTGCGATAAGTGTATTCAAAAAAGAATACAATCAAGACTTAGAACTTGCCCTTCATGTATAAAACAATTTTCTAGTAGTGATGTAATTACAATTCATCTTTAAGAACCTCTCCTTGAAAAAAATGTTATATTATTTATTCTCGTTATTAAAAAAAAGGGGAGGCTGAGTTCCACTGTCTTTTTAGTTTATTTTGATAATTTTTATTGGTGTTATATTTTTAATTCTGTTTGTTTCTTGTTTGTAATAGATTTGTTTGTATTAATGTGGTTAGCAATTATTTTTTTTTAAATTATGAAAAAAAAAAATAACAAAATAAAATAAACGCAAAATATTTTAGAAATTGGAAATTGAACTACAAAATTGAAGATAATTTTGTTCTAGAAGAATTTTTATTTATCTCACAATCCGCCATCATTTTAAGTGTATAAAAACATGAAAAACACAACAAAATAAAAAAAACTTGACAAAAATCTTAACAAAAAAAGAAAGCAATAAGCTTATTTATGCAGTACATATTCTTTAATATTGAAAAAGAAATAAGATTTAAAAAAGAAAAGGAAATAGTGTTTTTCCTTTAAATTGAATTTAATTATAAACCATTCCTGGAGTGTATAAAGAATAACAAAGATAGAAATAAAATAAAACTAACAAAAGGAGAAGAAGGTTAAAGGAAAAATAAATAAAAGTAGAAGAAAAATAAAAAGAAATAATGAGGTAAAACAAACCAACAATAAATAAAAATCGTTAATACATAAAATTAAAAAGGAAAACTAGTAAAAGTCATTGAAAATAATTTGAAATAAAAAAGATAAGTGTATACGCAATTATAAGAGGTGAAGTGAAAAGAAAAGAAAAAAAATTAAAATTGCTGATTAGAATTGCTGATTAAACCCTATCAGGAGTCCAATCTAGACCTGCTTTTTGATAAACCTTTGCTTGAACTTGATTCCAAAGAAATGATTTTTCTTGATTAGATAAATCAAAAGAGTTTTTAAAATGAGGTTCTTCGAAGTTTTTAGCACTATTTATTAGGACTTTTTTAAGTAAAGAATTTGAATTTGAAGATTTTGAGTTATGTAATTTTTTATTGTTGGATTTGTTATTTATGGGGTTGTGATGAGGTAATAAGTTGTTATTAATATTATTTTGGAGTTGATTTTGGGGAATATTAGAAGCCTCATTCTTTTTTTTATATAGAGAACAAATTTTTTTAAAATCGTGACAACATTGAGCTTCAACAGCTAAATTTAATAGGAAGTTTTCTATTATATTTCTCCATTCATGGATTTCAAGAGAATGGTATTCTTTACTAGCAAAAATTTGTTCTTTATTATAGCCTTGAGATTTTAATTTTAAATAAATCAAGTCGTTATGTTTTTTTTTAGCTGCCAATACAGTGAATTGAGCAGCTTGAGTTCTTAAGTTTTCGCTAAATTTTGCTTCTTTATAGATGTCACTTTGAACTAGAATTGAAACAAATTGTGATTCTGAAGAATCTAGAGGTAATAATTGAATTTTGAAACCTAAAGGAGCATAAATGATAGGGATTTTGTTATTCCATTCTGGTTTTAAAGTGTGTAGGATTAATAAAGATCTTAAGTCGTTTAAATCCCAGTCGATTAGGTTTCTTTTAGTAAAAGTTGGTCTGCCATTGGGTAATAAATTTGATAGAAACTGAGGTAGATACATGTTGTGAAAGTCTATTGGAATTGCGTCGTCAAGAGTTATTATTGGGGCCGAATTTATTAGGCTAATAGAAGAAGATTGTGTAGATGCGATGGAGTTGTTAGTAGTTGAGAAGACAGAGGTTATATTTGATGGAGCCGAATTATTTGATTGGTAGGAGGATTGATGGGATGATTGATGGGATGATTGATAGGATGATTGAGAGATGGATTGAGAAGGGACAAGGGAGCAAGTTGATGAAGATGTTGAGGATAGAGAGTCAGTGGATGCAGTTGATAAAGCAGAAGAATTTGAATTGATTGATTTATTTGATTTATTTGATTTATTTGATTTATTTGATTTATTTGAGTCATTAGAAGATAGAGAAGTTAAAGATTCATTTGATATTATTGAAGCAGAAGAGTTATTTTGGAAAGAGGATAGTTCAGAAGAAGAGGTTTTATTTTTAAGTTTTGCTTTGAATTTATTAGTAGTTTTGTTGTTGTTGTTGTTGTTTGTATCTTTTAACGAGGATCTACTTGTTAATTTATGTAGAGTTGAGAAGATTTGCTTATGTTTTTTTTTGTGATGTTTTTGAGAAGATGAATTAATTGAGTTTTTTATATGAATTGGATTAATTGGATTATTTATAGTGTTTTGATTTGAGCTGGTTTTATTATTAGGGCAGAAAAATTTTAAGTTTGAGGAAGATTTTTGATTGAGATTTCTTATAGAGGATGATATAATTGTATTATTAGACGTATGTGAAGATAAAGAAGAGGAAAAGGAAGAGAGGGAGTCATTAGATTGAGAGGAAAGAGAGCTTTGATTTGAGTGCACTCTTTTCAAATTTATTCTACTGTTACTGTTATTGTTATTGTTATTATTTGGAATGATATTTGGAGAGGCAATTGATTTAGAGTAATCGATTACTGAAGAATCGGAAGTTGATTGAGAAGAATTAGATAACAAATCGTTGGCAGTATAAGAAGAAGATAAAGGAGAGTTTCCATGCCTGAGAAAAGAGGAATTTAAAGCTAGTTTCTTCTGTATTTCAAGACGAGCATTTGAGGTGTATTTCTTTGGAGTATTGCCGGAAATACTATAGTTGTATGGTGGGACATACATTGCTGTTGTAACAAGATAATATAGTAGTGAGATAGAATATGGTGATAATATAATGCTATAGAATAGATATAGTTAAATATGGTTGGATATAATTAAAAGTAAACAGATATAATTGAATATGACTGAGTATAGTTAGAGAAATGAATAAGGGAAGCTATTGCTAAGAGCAAGCTTCAAGCAGAGGGTATATTATAAGATGAGAAGAGAAGAAAAGAAATTCAACAGCCCAGAGGACGAGAGATAGTAATTATGAGAGATGGAAGATGAAATGCAGAAGTGAGAGAGATATAGAAGATGAAAGCAGATTTAATATAAGAGTGTGAAGGTGAAAAAGGTGGATTAAAGATCAAATTTTTAATTGTTCCTTCACAAAACCAACACAAGAAAGAGAAAGAACGAGTGGAACATCTTCTGGAGTTGTTCCTTTTTGCTGGCGCAGCGGACTCCCCCCCTCACGAGGGCTGCGCGAAGAGCGCGCAACACACGGTCCTGCACGGCGCGGTTTTTCCGACGCGCGCTGATAGGCTAACTGCGCAAAGACGCGCACCTGCGCCCAACCAGCACAGTCAGCTGACAGGTTTTTCCGTGACAGTTCCGTGGCGTCGAAGCCCGAGTCGGCACAGGAAGTACAGGAAGCACAGGCAGAAAAAGCAGAGGAAGCAGAAAGCTATTTGACAGAAAGCTATTTGGAAGCAACACGCAAGACAGCGTAGAGAAAACAGCTGGACAACACCGGAATGGTGAAGTTGTCGTCAAGATTGAAGATCTGGATGGCCTCTGAGATGGCAGCAATAAGGCCACAGAGAAGGGAGAAGAGTGGGAGCGAGAGCCTGCTTTTGTCGGCAGAATACATAATAGAGGAGGACGTTCTGAGTAGGAGGTGGTTGGATGTTGGATTCTTTGGGAGAAAATAGGCGTAGAGAATGATGCAACTAAAGACGCCAGTGAAAAAGGCAGCAATGGAACCAGCAAGCGACTTATTTGGGGTTAATCTGGGAGTCAAGTGGCCGTATAATCTTCCAAAAGTAGAGGCAGCAGTGTCAGACCAGGACAAGAGAAGAACAGAAAGCATGGAAATGTCCTTGGAAAACAAGGAGAAAGGGATGATAAGACCCAATAGGTAGTAAATTACTCCATTGACGGAGTTGACCTCCTTTTGTCTCATCAATAAACCAAAATAGCGGATGTATAGCTGATTAACTCTGGGGAAGTTTAATCGGACGACATCAATAGACAATAAAATTAAAAACCCAGTTATTAGTATGGGATTAATGTCACTGATCTCATATCCTTTGCCATAGAGATATAAAGTTATAAAGCCGATAGAGATATGAAGCACTTTTCTTGGGATTTCGTGTTTCTTGATAAAATTATTGACGTTTTGATTTAAAAAAGACAAGTTATTTTCGATACTGATGGTGATCTTGCTGGTGCTAGCATTTTTAATATTAAGCTTTTTAGTGTTAGTACTGTCTGTACTACCCGTGCTGCCCGTGCTTCTTGGAGTGCTCGCTTTGTAGCTATTGTTATAAGTGTCTTTGTAACCATCTTCATCGCTGCTCAAGTTATTGCTGATGGTTAATGTAGAAGAGCTGGAGTTTAGAGAGAACGAGGTTATATCACTATTATCGTTGCTATCATCGGTTTCTGCATTATCATTTCCAATCTTATTATGGCCGATTTCATTATCAGATATATCAGTATATTCGTCGGAAATCTCATCAGTGCTATCATCACTACTATTGCCAGCGGATTCCTCCAAAATGTAATCTTCGTCTTCATCTTCGTTATACACAGAGTGTGGATCATTTAAACAGTTGTAATTGTAATTATAATTAACTGACACAGCCTTGCTATCTTTCAACTCATTAGAAAGCGTAGTCGAAGGAATTAAAACTCTTGCAGACATTTCCACCTATATCCTTGTCATTTAACTGTAGTTGGTTGTGGTAAAATATATTTATTTGAATTTGAATTTAAATTTCGAAAAAAACAACAATATTTTAACTATTTAAAGATCTTAGCACTTGTGAAATGAATCTTGTTTTATTTGATATTGATCTGTGCTATACAATGCTACCTATTATATCATACCGTTGATCGACTCTTACTAAAAAATTTTGTTGGCTGTCCGTTTTTCACATGCCATTTTTCCACATTCCACTGCGGATGTCCAGCGGAACAACCATGGATCCAGCATTCCGGATTTGGACCTAGCCACGGCAAGGATCTTGCGTGCGGTCGCGTGTCCGCTGTGAATCCGCAGCGGAACCACGCATCCGCATCCGCTGACGCGCTCAGGCCCTTGGTGCACCACGCTCTTGCAACACGACTGATAGCGCCCGGCATCCAAGGGATTCACGTGACATATACTTTCCTGTGACCACGTGTATATCACCGGTGTCCCGAACGCGCAAACGCATAGCCCAGGCCCACGGCTGTGGGAGCTCCGAGCTGGAGCCTCGCAGCGTTGCTTTCTCAGCCTGAAGAATGCTGCTTCTTCTGCTGCCTGTGGTTCCTCTGCTTCCTCTGGTATCGTTGTTCTCGACATATAGACTGCCTCTGCTGCTGCTGCTTTAATTGATACACTTCCTCCACTCCTGTGTCTCTCTTTCGTATCCCCTGTCTTAGCTCCTGCTCGTTGCAACTCATCGTTCCTTTATCCACTTACACCTCACTCTTTTCCCTTTGTTTTTTTTTCATCACCCAACAATTGCACTTCAATACGATACCAAATTATCCTGCAATGAAAAAAGAACTTAAATACATCATCTATGCTCATTTGGCTTTGCTCTTGTTTATCCTATACCAGGTCTTTGACCTCCTAACTCTAGTATACGATGATTCCTTCTCTGATGCTCTTCTAGAGGTTGATTTAAACCCTCCTGAGGACTCCCCAAAGAAGCCTCAACTCATCCCCAAAATTATTCACCAAACCTACAAAAACGAATTCATTCCCGATATCTGGAAAGCTGGCCAGAAGGCCTGCTTGGATTTGCACCCTGATTATAAGTATATTCTATGGACTGATCAAATGGCCAGAGATTTTATAAGCGAACAATACCCTTGGTTTTTGAAAACTTGGGACAACTACAAATATCCAATTGAAAGAGCTGACTCCATAAGATATTTTGCTCTATCCCACTTTGGCGGTATTTATATCGATTTAGATGATGGCTGTGCTCGAAGACTAGATCCTCTCTTGACTGTTCCTGCTTTCGTTAGAAAGACCACTCCAACTGGCGTCTCTAATGACGTTATGGGTTCAGTTCCAAAACACCCTTTTTTTCTAAAGGTCTTGGATAATCTCCAGAAATATGACAGAAATTGGCTTATTCCCTATCTAACCATCATGTACTCGACTGGCCCTTTATTTTTAAGTGTCATTTGGAAACAATACAAAAGGTGGGGCGTTCCTGAAAATGGTGTTGTCAAAATATTACAGCCTGCCGATTATAAAAAACACACTTACTCCTTCTTTATAATATCTGAAGGTTCGTCATGGCATCTAGATGATGCAAAATTCATTAAAAGTTTAGGCAACCACATTCCAGCCTGTGTCGTCTTGGGTTTCCTAATTGCCTTTGTTGTTTTTTATTTTGAGTACTCCTTTTACAACTGGGTCATCTCAAACAATTTCAGAAAATTTAAAGCAAAATTCTCCTTTCTCAATTTTTTCAAATTTAACACCTCCAAAAATAACAATAACGAAAACAGCCCTTCTTATTCCACTCTCAATACTGATTCCTCCGACGAAGACTTTCTTGAAAGCATCAACTTGGATGATGACGATGACTCAACCGTCCTTGTCACTCCTTCTTCAAACGCAATCATAAAAGGTAGAATCAGTCTCAGCGACTTGGTCCCAATTAAACACGCTGCCTTGGCTAAATTCTTGAGAAAGAAAAATAGAAATAGAAAAGATTCAAACTTGTTCATTCCAAAAAATATTAATGTCCCAGATAGCAATAACCCAAATAACAATAACCCAAATAACAATAACCCAAATAACAATAACAATAACAATACCTCAAATGATGACAACATCAAAAAAGATCCTCTTTTTAATACAAGCAACATTGTTTAAGACCATAAACTATAATTATCAATTGACACTTTCCTCTGCATTTTTATTTCTTCGGTCTTTTGATTAACCCTTATTTTAATCTTTAATCTTTACCTCAATCTCAATCTCAATAGATTATAATCCCTAATATTAATATCAATATTAATCACAATTATTACTATTATTATATTCATGGGTTTATTCATCTCTTTTTGTATATTAATGATTAATTGTTTTACCTAATTTATTTCTTCCTCCCTCTTTTTTTTTATTTCATATTTATTGTTTTGCTTCTTTTTTTTTCTTTTTTCTTTTTTCTTCTTTCTTCTTTTTTTCTTTCTTTTATCTCTGTTTTTGTCTTTTTCTATGTGTCCTGTTGTCTTTTTTTTCTTTCTAATTTCGTACTTTATATACATACTTCATTTCTTTTTACGCTTAATTTCTGGTGTTTTCTTAATATAAACAAATAAACAAATAAATAAATAAACAAATAAACAAATAAACATAAATAAGTAAATAATTAAACAAATACATATATTTAATACCAATATTTCCTTATTCATTTTATCTCATTCTTCATCGCCTAGTAAATCAATTAAAATATGCTCATACTTCCCATGACTCACTTTATTGGCTTTTCTTAATATATCTTCAGCTCGCTTATAAAATTTTTCTTGCTCTTTACTTTTTAAATCATACAAATTTCCCAATGAAATCTCAGCTTCAGCTATATCAACCCAGCTTTGTGTATCTTCTTCATCCTCTGCTTTCTTGAAATGTTTTATTGCTTTTTTGTAATTTTTAATCCCTTCTTTTTGCAATTCCTTTAATTTATTAATCTCAGATAACTCGGATTCCTCTTCACCATCCTCAGAATAAACTACTGATGTGTATATATTACTTGGTCCTTCAGCTTTAATTAAATATTTTTCTCCAATTTTATGGTTAACTTTTTTATATAATAATAAACAATCTATTTCCTCCTTTGAAATCTCCTTATTTTCCTTAATTTCATCAATATTTGAATTATCTTGAGTATCTTGTTTCTTCTTATCCTTTTTATGTATTTTCTTATCTTTTTTGAACTTTTTATTATTTTTATTTTTTTTCTTGTGATCACTCATTTCTTCTATCTCAATAATTGATTTATAATTTAACAACTTAACTTTTTTAAGTAAATTCTGTGCAAAAATTAATATACGTTTATTTAACCAATCATAATACTTATCGATTGACTCTCTGGTTTGATATAATGGATGCTTTTTAGATAATTTGACTTTTTGTTTAATTTCCTTCTCATTTTCATCTTCAATATCGCTGTCTAATCCTTCAGTTAAATGGTCTATACCAAAATTTTCTATAATATCTAATAAATCATCAAATGAATTTAATATGTTAAAATGGTCCAGGTTATAATAATTTTTCAAATATTCGTCATCTTCGATTATAGAATTTTCACAATATTCATAATCTTGAATTAAATTCTCGATAATTTTTTTGAAATTTGGAATCTTAATTATCTTTTGGCTATTTTTATCTCTATTATATTTTCTTGACGATAAATCTAAATTTGAAATGTATTGTAAAGGAATCTTATTTAAAGTGATCTCAATTCTAGCTAGTGTTAAATCAATTGATTTGGTATAGTAATTTAATCCTAAATTGACTCTTTCTAATGAAGCGTTGAGAAATTGAGCAACAATTTTATTGTTTTCAAATACAGGAAGATCTGATATTTTCATTTTGGTATTTTTATTGTCTTCATCATCAACCTCGTTTTCATCGATATCAAAATCAAGGTCAAGATCAAGATTTGCATTGTCGTCATCAGAAGTATGATATTTGGCCAAATCACACAAAGCTAGAGAATATATTGTATGAAATTTTGAATTTAAAGCCTTTTTTTTTTTTTTTGTTTCCTTGTTTAAATCCGATTCTCTTAATAATCTGTCACACTCGTGGACAATACCATTAAGAATCAATTGATTATCTGAATCATTGTTATATTTGTAAGTTTTCCATAATGCAATCAATTGAGCGATTTCATCATTTGGATCGACAGATTCGGATAATTCAATAGTTAAATTGTTAGGAGAAGATTGGTTTTGATCATTATTGGAGTCAATGTTTTCGATTTCAATTTTTTCAAAATTTTCATTTTCGTCATTGTTAATATTTTTATCAAGTTGATTAGTTTTGGGCAAAGTTGATTCAGGGTCTTGGATTTTTATCTTTTTTTTTTGTTTTGAAGCTTTGCCTATACCCAAGGGTCTTTTAGTCCTAGACATTTTTTGAAAAGTGGCGAAAGGATCTAATTGGAATAGTAGATATAATACAAATATAGATGGATAATGAGCAGGAGAGGAAGAAAAAGAAGAACAGGTTTAAAGTTGGAAAAATCGTGTGTTTCTCAAAAGAAAAATTTTCTGGTTGTCGCCAGTCGGAAGGGTTAGTTTTGGTGATTGTGGGGAATTTGGTGCGTGAAAGACGATAATGGAGACTTTTATTGAAGAGAATGGAGATTAGAGGGAGATTAGAGGAAAATAAAGTGCTCTGGGAGAGCCAATTAGTGTGTCTATAGAATCAAAGTAATAAGTGTTTATCAAAACATCAAAAATAGAAAGAAAGAAAAAAAAGGTAGAGATAGAGATAGAGATAGAGATAAAGATAAGTAAGGAACAAAGGACTAAAAAACCAACCGGTTTTACACTATAAACACATTAGACCAGTATGATAATGCCAATCCAAAAAAATAATAAGATAATAAAAGAAAATAATAAAAGAAAAAACAGGTAAAAAAGTGCTATAAAGGACAAGATAAAAGAAAATAATAAAAGGTAATAAAAGGTAATTAAAGATAAAAGAAATGAAATGAATTCAAGAAAATGATGCATGTTTAGGGGATATCATGGATTTTGTGATTGAAAACTAAAGATTATTTTAGACTTTTGAAGCAATAGTTTGTTCACTATGTAGTTTTGTTGCGTTTCTTTGATGTAGTTGATCTTTGCACGATTGCAAACCTGAACAAAAGTGGTTTTCTAGTAAACGATGGGTTGAGCAAAAACGACCTTTGCAGTAATCACAATCACCAACGATTCTTAGAGGCGCAGAAGAGCAGTTGTTGAATGAACAACGTTTGCTCTTTGATTTCCTCTTAACAGTTTTGATAACTTTTGTTTGTGGAGCAGTTGATGTTTCAGCTGAGAGAGAAGTGGATTTGTTTTGATTCATTGCTTGGGTTTGTTTTGTAATTTGAGCTTGATTTTTGGCGATCAACTCAGGGATAGGAATCGACTTTAGCACCAATAAGACAGTAGAGCCCTCTTTTATGCTGTAGTATGAAACCAGCTGTTTGATGTTGAGTTTTCTGCCTGCAAGATAGAGAGAGGTTGTGGAGGGAGTGAAATTCAAAGAAGCAGGGGAGGCTGCGATGGCGACTGCCTTCAAATTATCGACAGTGGAGTTGTCTGGGACAGTGACAGTAAATGCTAAGCAAAAGACAAAAACGAAATGTTAGTAAGACTGTTGTTTTGTTGGGCTGCAGTGGGAAGGAGAGCAATACGTACTTTGTGAGTTAGTTAATTTGATAGAAACCTTCATTGTGCAAGCGTAGGAGAAACAGTGAGACAGGATCAAAAGCAACAGCAGGAAAAGATGGATAAAAAGATGGATGAAAAGAAGCAGAAAGATAGATGAAAAGAAGTAGGAGAGGAAGAAGGAAGAAAGACAGAGAAAAAGAAGATCAGAAAAAAGCAACAGGAAACAGCCAAAAAGAGAAAAGTGGCAAATCGAAGCTATTTATACTTCTAAGTTGGCCCTCTCTTCGCTTTATCAGCGGCTATCTTTTTTTTTCTTGGGCTGTATTTTGCTGGTTCTGCTGGTTCTGCTGGTTTTATTGCCTTCGACAAGGCTGTTTACTGTTGTTTGTTTACTGCTGCCTGTGCTGCCTGTGCTGCCTACGCTCCATCTACACGTCTCTGTCGTAGAAGCTCTGGATCATCCCAAGCTCGGTTTCTGGGTAGCTTCTCAACTCCACTGCTCCAGTCTCTTCGTCGACAGAGGTGTTGCACTGGATGAACTGCTTTCGGGGGAGCCTCTTCTTCATCACCACGTCTCTGAACCTGCCTATCTCCTCAGAAACGTTGGATCTTTCCAAGAACAACTTTGATCCATTGCCAAAATCCCCTGAGCACTTGTAAACATGCAACTGTTTCAAGTACTCTCCAACTGCTGGCTGGCCAACGCTTTCGATCTTGCTCTTGTTCATAACTATTCTCAAGTCTGAAAACTCCTTATCGTCCTCGTACTCAAACTTCACAAATCCTTCACCAGCCTTCAAAAACGTCTTCAAAATCGAAAATCGGGCTTGCATATGTGCCTGTCCCCATTTCTTGCTGATTGGATCCCAGAACTGCAATGCCAACAATCCTGCTCTGGCCATCAACAAGTAACCAATGTGTATAATGTCGTTTTGTCTCTCAACATCATTTATCCCAAAGATCTTCAAAATCTCTCTGTTGGTAATCAAGTACATGGCCACACACTCAGCTCGACACTCTTCATATGGTCCAGCTAATGATCCGAATACTGATGACCACGTAGTGTGTTTCTTATAATAGGTTTCCACTGGTTTGCCATCTAATCCAACTGGTGGGTTTTCCTTATCAAAGTTGAACTTCCCATCATCTAGTTCTAATAATAACTTGCCTGACCCATGTCCCAACAACTCATGTAGTCCAACTTGAACCTCAAATGCTTCTGCTTGATTTTTTTTAAATAAATCACTGATTTTTTCATCAATAAATGTAACTGGTTCTTTATTGCTTTCTTTAGCACTCAAAATATTACCCAAACTCACATTCTTAAACCCGATATTGATTCGAACATCATCATAATTTGGAATATTAATTCCTGCTGGAACCCCACTCCCTGCAAACGTTAAAACCTCTAATGATGTAAAATCTGGTGGTGTAAACTTATCCTTTTCAAACTCCTTTGACCATGGCAACTTCTTAATATAATGTTCAGCATTATTAACTAAATTACCAAACTTTTCGGTTCTCTCTTTATTAACCATACTAACTAGCCCTTCCCATTCTCCTCTTATTCCATATGGATCACGATATGTCTCAATAAACCCAATATTGGTCTCGACTGGTGGTCCTATATCCTTTACCCAATTTTTTTGTGACTCTTTATGCGATAACATCGAGCCAGTTTTGAAAGATTCAATATAATTTTTAACCATTTTTTCTTGAATTTCATTTGAAACATTTTCTTTAGCTAAAACCATCGATTCAACAATTTTTTCAAATTCCTTTGAATGATCTCCAAACTTAAAATTAACTGTAACTTTCTTAATAATATCGCTACTTTTCTCATCAACAATCTCAAATTCCTTAATTGAATCAATTGGATATTCGTTGGGAATTGTATTAGAAATCTCTGCTGATGCAATTAAAATATTAAACTCATTTGTTGAAATCTTTTCAACTCTAGTGTTCTCTGGCATGATATTCTTACTAGTCAATAAATTATTCAACGATTTAATCTCATTATTGTCAAATAATAATCCATCCTTTGAAACATAATACCCAGAATTATTTAGTCCTAATAATGTCTCATGATTCTTTTCTACTGAAAATATTTTTTCTGAAACCTTATCATAAATAGAATTGACTTCTTCATTATCAACTGACTTGATTAATTGATTAAATTGATCTCTCGATAAATTAGGAATGAATTTACTATCACCAAATGATTTAAAATTACCCAAGTTTGATAAAAATTGAGAAGAATATTGTAAATAATTATCAACAATATCTCCATCTTTATCGTCTAGTTTTTTTCTTAAATTTTCATAAGGATTCAATGAATGGATCTTGAGGATCAACTTGTAAATGTCTTCACTCTCATTACTGACACTTCTCAAAACAACTCTTGAACCATAGTGAGAAGCTCTCGACATATAATGAGCATATTTTTTTTCCTTCAAGGACAATTTATCAAAATGAGTTTTGACATCCAAACAAACAATTGGAGCTTTAAAGTCTGCAGCAAAAGTAGAAGCAGTAGCCATTTTGGAGATTGACTTGATGAGTTTGTTCATTTATAAAGAGGAGCGAAATGAAATACAAGGGATAGTGCGACGAATTTATATGAAAAATTAAAAAAATATGGAAGGCGACTTTTACAGTTTGGGAAATGAGTGGAAAATTACGTTATATTATATTGGATGTATAAACAGAGGAGTAACAACAAAATAATAAAATAACAAAATAATAAATTAGAATAGGAATAGGAATGGGAATAAGAACAAGAACAAGAATAGGAACAAGAATAGGAACAAGAATAGGAACAAGAATAGAAATAGGAATAAACCAGAATCAAAACAAATTAACAATTAGTGAAAAGCATCGACCAGCAATAGATTAGTGGAATAGAGGAATAGAGACTAGTGGAATAGAATGTAGAAAAAGACATATAACAAAAAATATAACAAAACATATAACAAAACATAGAATATAGAAATGGACAACAAAAATGTAATATAATATAATATAGTATAGTATAGTGTGGTGGAAACGAAATATTAATAATAGCCCTTGAGGCTTTCCAACTGGTCTTGATACTCAAGATATACCAACTCAGCCATAGCTTGACGAAAAGCATCTTTATTGTAATTGCGCTTTGAAGTGTGTGGTTGTTTGGACTTGAATTGGTTGCAATAGGCATCAGCAGCAACAACACCATTGTCGTTGCCACTGTTATTACCACGACGATGTGTCTTGGAGACAATCGAGTTTCTGAGCTTTCTCACACATCTTTTGAAAGCTGCTCTTTTGGAGACAGCATAGTTGAATGTGTCAGCGTATTTGTATTCGCTTTCATCGATTTCGATGGAGGGATCAAATTGCTTCAAAACCTGTTGTTTCTTGGAATGTCTTTCATGAGCAGCAATGACCAAGTTGTTGATGTCCATTTCCTTTTGGAGGATTTGCTGTCTGAGCGTAAATTGTGACTTTTGTTTTTCATCCTGTAGCTCTGACTCAACATCAGTACCATCAGTTGTGACTGAGTCCTGGCTGCTGAGGTCAGAGGCAGCATCATCGCTGTAAGTAGACAACGACTTTGAGTAAATAGAAGAAGAAGAAGAAGAAGAACAGTTAGAAATAGGAATTGAAGTAGGAATCGAAATAGATGGCTTTTCAGCAGCAACAGATGGTTTGTTGACAGCAGTAGATAGTTTGTTAATACAAGACATGTCAAAACGAGAATAAGTCTCATAACCAGCAGCAGTCAAACCCAATGGTGATAAAGTATCTAGATAGAAAGTTTTTGGCAAATAAGAACCAGAATCACAATCCGAATCCGAATCCGAATTAAAAGCAGAATCAACATCAGCTCCAGAAATACATCTGTTGACTTGAGCTCTTGATGGTTTGAGGTGGAAACGCTTCAAGCCATTGGCAGATGGATTAACTGGTGCAGCTAAGGAGGACATTGTGAACGAAGTCGACTAAAGTGATAGCAAGATAAGATAACAAACAAATAAAATTATTATAAGTTGTTATAAGTTAGACAGATTAATGAGTTATTGAGTTACTTTGGTTAAGCTGTGATAAGTGATTAATAGATGGAAAGAAAACAAAAAAAAATTTTTGGGAAAGAACTCGTTCTTTTATGTTGTCAGAAAACAGTTGTCTTGAGCATCTTAAGCACATTCAATGAATTGACACATGCAATCATATCAATGTTTGTAATAATCATTATTGATCATTGATATAATAACAATGACTGCTTTTAAAAGCAAAAAACGTAAAAAAAGATCCATATCATAAGACTGATCCAAACATAACGCTCGATGATTGGTGGAAAAGCACCAGATATAAAAAGCAATTTCCGTTTTAGGAAAGTGCACAAATCTCGGAGGAGATTAAAAATACAGAAAAAAAGCAAAACTCAGAATTGATTTTGATTGTTGCTGAACAGGCAACATTGTCATTGGATAGCTGGAAACACGATCCAAGAAACAACTTGCTTTTGAGCTATTATTGTTAGAGAAAAATTTTCTTGTTCAATAGAAATCCAAGCAA